TACCAATGGCTCAGATGCATTGAGGTTTGCACCGCTTCGTTTCTCCAATCCATAAGCAGTGCTTTTGTATTGCTGACCAAACGCAACCACCATCACATCTTCTACGACTGCAGCGGAGTGGAAGGCGCGTGCAGATGCCGATGGCCCGTTGGCCGGTGGATCAGCATAGTGGATTTGCGTCCAACGAGCGGGGCTTTGGTTCGGGTTCAAAGCATACATCTCGCTGGTGGGAGAAGTTTGGACTTTGTCACCGGACTCTTGCTTATATCCACCGTAAACAAGCACCGTTCCATCACTCAGACGCACGGCAGTGTGGCCAACACGAGGAGAAGGTACATCTCCAGCGGTCACCCAGCGATCCCATTGCCCTGTTGCTTGGTCCAAGACCCAAGGTTTCTTGAAGCTGACTAGATGGTTGTTGTGGTCGCGGCCACCGAGGAAGGCCAGCGGCTCATACAGATCTGTGCTTCCTTCATAGACGTGCGAAGGGAGTTGCACAGTGGCATAGTCGGCCAAAGGCAAAGAAGTCAGCCGTTTTCGCAGCTGGAGCGGGTGTGCTGTGGCATTGTGTTGCAGCAGGTAGGAGCCAAAAGGCAAAGTACCTCGGCAGGTTTCTCCAAATGGTTCCGGTAATGACCAAACGTCCATCGAAGGAGATCGAGAGTTTTGTGAAGATGTGTTGTTGTGGCAGACCTCGTCCCAGTTGTCGCCGCCCAGCACAAACATAGACTTGCTGCGGTCATTTCCGAGGCCCTGAGGTGGCATCACAGCCGTAGCATGTGTCCTACGAGCGCCGCTGCCTTTACCGGGCATCGCCCGCCAAGTACCGTAGTAAGTGGTATTTTGCAGTTGAACGCTGTAGGTATACATAGGCGCCACATCCGTCTTGCAGTTCTCTGTCTTACCGCCGACCATCCAGAAGGTATCGACGGTGCCAGTAGGGCAAGAGCTTGTTGACACGGCAGATGCGGCATAGGCAATTGCTGGGACTGGCTCAGATTGGTTGGAGTGGTGGACTTTGAGGAATGGAGTGCGCTGAGCTGTAGCCATTGCACGCTGCACATCTTGTAGACCACTCATGTCCAGCAAGAGGGTCTCATTAGTGAGTGTAGAATGGTCATCAGTCTGACCACCACTGATGACGATCGCGTTTGCCGAGGGCATAAATGCCGCAGACGAGCCCCATCGTGGCTGAGGAGTCGTAGTGTGATATAATGCGGCGATTTGAGGGTCAACAGATTGGTTGGCATCGCCAGAGACAAACTGCAGCATGGAAGCCAATGGGCTGGTAGCTGAGTTGCTCGTGCTGGATGTTTGTGTCTGGGGCATCATGGTACTGACCAGGTTCTGGATAATGTTGCCTGAAGCGGATTTTTGCTTAGTGTTTCCAGAGGTGGTTTGCCCTGTTGATGATAACACGCCGTTCAACAAGTGGCTGTCGCCGTGACCTAGCATTCCTGCACCAAGACCTGCCAAAGGGTTATTCTGGATGGCAGGGTGTTCAGACATGGCGGAAACGCCATGAGACATCTGCATAGCCAATGCAATGAAAGTCGCAAGGGATAAGAAGCGAGGGGTAATCATGCTGAAATTGAAAGATTCAATGGAATGCAAACGAAATTGTCTCCGCCAGGGAGATAGATAAAGGGGATCGAGGACCGGCCTCAATGAAAGAGCAGGGAGTGTGTCTCACGGCCCACTGCCAGATGGCGACAGTGACAAGTATGTTTCTGGGCAAGCCGGAGGCTTCACGAAGTGTCATGCGAAGTATTATATAGGAACCGCATTAACTTCTCGCTAGATGTTACTATGGAGGTTCAAGAAGTTACATCGGGCTGTATCGCCCGATCTCTCGCCCCGCAAGAATCGACACAAGACTCCACGATGCATTTCGAAGCAAAGCCTATGCCAAGGAAATCCCTTCCGACAGTGGGGTCGGAAGAATGGAATGAGTTTCTAAAAAGCTTCATTCGACAAGGATTTGCTCATGTGCGCCAAGGCCAGAGAGTTTCCAAAAAGCCTCGTTCCCTAAGGGGCGAACCAATGGAATGTGGCGTCGTCCCTTCTGACTCGCAGGGTCGGCTAAGTTCCGCAGGCTGGCATACGCGCACATCAAGACATCAGAGACCATTTGAGGAATTTTCCCAAGGTTTATATGATGATCATACAAAGAACGAACGCGAGTACATCGAGGACTTGAAGGAAGTAGAGTGTCTTGAGACCTTCCAAAGCAATGTTCAGATCTGGAACAATCGATATCGATTCACTTGGCCGACAGCGAATCGTGATTTTATTGTGATTGTTTTTCGCGTAGCTCTGCCGCCTCATCCTGAGCCATTTTCTGAGGCACACGAAGAACTCACTATGGGAATGGCACCTTGGTTGCCCGAGTCGGTGGCGTCGTCTAAGCCCCAAGCCAACGAACTGAAATCATTCATGGTGCTAAGCCAGCCGGTATCCGGCGCTGAAGTGCCGAAATACTTGCGCTCGTACTACTCCAGTATTGAGGCCGTACGTCAACTACCTGATTCGGAATTGGAGTGGCTGTATGTATAGTGTGCTAATCCAGAATGACGCTTCAGACAGATTCGCGTGGTTGGGTGCCGCTATGGGTGCAAGAGGTAGGTGCATTCACACTGACAAAGCTTTTGATGCCTTCCAAAATCGCGGAAGATGTGCCTAACTTCATTAGTTGGCTACGTAAGTAAGTAGAAGAGTACCTAGAGCAAGCCAAACAGATCGTCTTGACGTCCTGGCGCTGTCGAGTTTGTTGCGGGTTGCTGTGTGGCTGGAATAGTACCGAACAAAGCGTTGAAATCATCGTTCGTTTTGTTGGATTGCGAAGCAGATTGCGTTGTCGGTGCAGGAATGGCAAATGGATCGTCGTCGCCTAACAAGTCACCCAATGTTCCCAAGTGCTGAGCTGCTGCTCCTTTCACCTGGGATGTAGTAGTGGCATCGTCATCGCCAAAGTCCAACAGATTCTCGCTCTTGACTCCTTGAGCGACGGTTGCGATGGCTTTAGACCGTACAGCCTCTTGGCTGTTCACAGCGAGTGCTTGTTGTAAGCTTTGTACACTGAATTTGCCTTGCCCAATGAATGTGGACGCAGGTTTGTGATAAACACTGGACAACATAGATAATTCCCGGATGAGTTCATTGAGTAAAGCCCGAGACACTGTCGTGGACGGCACAGAGATTGGCGGGAGTTTGGACAGAGCCACTTCTCTCGCGGCTTCGCTGTCGGAGCTGGAAAGAAGCCGCCAATAAATATAGGCTCGGTCTCGAAGATCAGCATTGTCACATTCGCAAGTGGCTTTGTTGAGTACGTCTTGTACGATCCGCTGAGCCAGCTCTGAATCTGGTTTCTTAAGAAAGAGTTTCACAATAGCAGTCAGAGTTTGGAATTGCACTGCAGCGACATCCTCGTTGAATCCCTCCAGACAAGCTGCAAGCTGGTCGGCAGCGTTCTCGATGCGCTCAGCATACTCGCCAATGATCCAAATCAGCGACGCCTTCGCCTCCGGCTCGTCGATCTCGTCCAGATTCGAGCATAACGCAGGAATGATTCGCGTGTATTTGTTGGGATACTTTCGGAAGATATCCTTGACTACAACAGTTGCTTCTTGCACCACGTAGTTCACGCGTGAGTTAATCAGTTCTAGCAGCACATACACACACCGCTCAGCGGCACTTTCAATGCTGATAGCGCATTGGCCTATCGCGCGGATTGCACGACGAACAAAATCCACATCGACTTCTGCCGCATACTCTTTGAGCTCACTGAGAAGTGTATCGACGTTCTGTTCCTTAGCAAGTTTGATCATCACATCCACTTTTTCTGCTTTTACATATGGAGGGTCGTTGTACTTGCAGAAAAAGATACGCAGCTCATTCGACAGGATCTCTGGATACTTTTGCAGAATCAAGTTGATGTTTCGTAGAGCAACCCACTGCACTTCCGGCTCAGATGATACGAGGGTCACTAGAGGAGGAGCCATTTTTCTGATGAGTTGTTGGACCAGCTCGGGTTTACCAGTGGCCTCCATATGAACCAAAACCACCTTGACAGCTCCCAAGACCACAGCTCCATTTGCGTGCTGAAATTGTGGCATGACTCGCTCACAGATGTGTTCCGCTTCGCGTTCATCTGCACTGCGATAAGCACCGAGCGTGTTCAAGATGACGATCCGACCCCATTCCGTACATTCGTTCAAGGCGATGAGCAGCTTCATTAACGTCTCTGAATCCAATACAAATATGGGACCTCCATCGACCTGTACGTCTTGGGCGGCTTCTTGTATATCGTTCAAGGCAGCAATTGCATTTGCAACCACCATTGGATTATTATCTGCAACCATATCCTTGACACGGTCGACAAAACCACGTTCCAAAGCCAACTCTGGCTTCAAGCTAAAGAGCTTTGCGACACAAATCACAGCAGTCTTGCGCACATAAGGGTTATCATCGGCCAAACAACGCTCTAAAGGTTCAGGAAGATAGTCGATGATTTTTTCAGCGCGAAGACAGCCCATTGTCCGAATAGCCAAAGCGCGAATCAGAGGATTGGAGTCCTCGGAATCCTTCACGAAAGTGTTCACAGCCAAGATCACCAACTCCGGCTGTGTTTTTGCATAATTCATCAAATACAGATACACGAGTTTTTTCTGCTCTAGATCCTCGGTCTGCATATTTTTCAAGACATCGGGAAACAAGGCTGAGACATCTTTGCCTACCGTCATGTTTGCAATGACCCGCTTGATACCATCCTTGCGTTTTTCGCGATATTCGCTATTGACTGTGTAAGTAGAAAAGACATACGATCCGCACGAAGCTCAAAGTTTTCACCTAGGTCAGCCATATTGCATACCTTTACGCTGTGCACCAAAGAAGCCAGGCCGGCTCATTGTAGAGCGAGTGGAGGGAGCGAACTGGTTTGCGATGGCGTTGCAGGAAGTTGCGAATATGAACGCAAAGACCAGACTGCCAGTTGGATTGTCGGCCGTATGGTCTAGTAGTATGATTCTCGCTTTGGGAGAGTCGCAAAAGCTCGGAATTGCGAGAGGTCCTGGGTTCAATTCCCAGTGCGGCCCAATTTTTGCCTCTGCTGCTTTCGTGATGTGGAGGAATTGCGAACTTTTTTTGTCGAGAATTACACTTTTTTGGCTCTGAGGTGGGTGCTATGCCGCGAGCTGTATCAAATCGTGTTACCAGTGTACAGACACAGGCAGCAAGCTCGAGCCCTCGGCATGCTGTTTCACAACAAAACACTAGTGCTACGACTAAGAATCCAATTTTTAATACGGAGAAGTTCGGGCAGCACATTTTGAAAAATCCTTTGGTCGCGCAGGGAATTGTTGATAAAGCAAACTTGAAACCGACCGATATCGTGTTAGAAGTTGGACCTGGAACAGGTAACTTGACTGTGCGGATTCTGGAAAAGGCAAAGCAGTTGACAGTGGTTGAGATGGATCCACGTATGGCCGCCGAGCTCACGAAACGTGTGCAAGGAAAGTAGGTAGATTTATGCTGACAGCAGACCCGAGCAACGGAAACTAGAGATTGTGATTGGCGATGTTTGCAAGACACCTTTGCCATACTTTGATGTGGTGATCAGCAATACGCCGTATCAGATCTCGTCTCCGCTGGTATTCAAATTACTATCGCATCGCCCCTTGTTTCGATGTGCGATCCTAATGTTCCAAAGAGAATTCGCTATGCGATTAGTAGCTCGTCCAGGAACACCGCTATGGGGCCGACTCAGTGCAAACGTACAGCTGTATGCGAAAGTGGATCACATCATGAAAGTCGCAAGAGGCAGCTTCCGACCTCCGCCGCAAGTCGACAGTTCTGTAGTACGCATTGTGCCGATCAACCCACCCCCTGCGATCCGTTTCGAGGAATTCGATGGCCTGACTCGTATTGTCTTCTCACGGCGCAATAAGCAACTACGTGCATGCTTCTTTGGAGCTCGTGGCGTACTGGAAATGCTTGAAGCCAATTGGAAGACATGGTGCGCAGAACATGGACAAGTACCCGACCTGTCCCAGCCATTTTCCGCCAAGGTCGACAAGGTGCTGCAGGATCTCGATATGAGCGAAAGCCGTGCGGCGAAACTTGATGTGGATCAGCTACTAGCGCTTCTGGCTGCATTCCATGAAGAAGGAATCCATTTCTAATGTACAATAGACAGTTATATCTGTAGAGGTTCTATGGAGATGTCCATGCGTCTACCAGACTTTGGACCAAGAGTGGGTCTTGCGGGTACATACAATGCAGGATCTCTGTACCTTTTTGTACTCCTGCTTGAAAGAAATGCTCACGGAGCGTACACAAGTCTTGAAAAGATGGGCATGCGACTTGCATCAATACACGACATGAGACATGATGCAAAGTAGGCAGATTTCCATCAGCAGCCAAGTATCGCTTGGTATCATTAGCAACAAGCTCAGAGTGATGTGCATTGAGGAGGCGTGCATCGATATTTGCACGTACAGCACTACTCAATAGCGGTTCGCGATGTTCCGCAAGGGCAGTATACGTGTGACTCGTATAGAAATCTTGTGAGAATTGCCAGTCTTGAATAGAACGAGCATCAGACTTGTTCAGTGCATCATATAAGCTCCAGTATACACCAACCATAGATGGCGAATCATTGGTCAAACATTTCATCAAGACCGAAGTACAAAACACAGGGAATGGCGATGTGCCTTGACATACGCGCTGAACAAGTGTGACATAGTGCGGAGCAGTATCGAAACTTCCTACAAGCTCCAATAAGTCACGAAGCATCGCACGTTTCTCTGCATGTGTACTTGCGCTGAATGGATGTGCAGCCCAGCCACGAGAGCGTGCAAAGATACTTCGATGTCCACGAGGGTCGTCAGTGTAGCTCAAGTAGCCCGTACGTCTTTGGACGTGGAAATAGAGGATCTGCCGAGGATCGTTGACGTTGATCCCGAGCTGTTCCTTATTCAAAGAAGCCGGCCAATACCTACGGCTAGCACTGTGAACGGCATGAACATCGTCCATAGGAGGTAAGAGTGTTGGCGCGAAAACCTTAGTTGTGCTAGGCTTGTTCTGAGAATGGATCGTGACGGGAAGAGGACACACTTCCTGCGTACGTATATCGGTCGCGACTAGTAATCGAGGAGCCAAAGCCAAGACGTAGAAATGCCGAGCTGCTTGAAGATGAGCACGAGAATCGCTTGGAGATGCTGGATATCGTGGCAAGAAAGCAGTGAGCATCGCTGCTACACACACGTCATTGGTGCCGAAAGTCAGTCTACCACCGCCAAGGAACAGCAGACCTAAAGCCATATGAGAAGCCATATGACTGCCGAAGCTTCGTTGTGTTGCTCCATGCGCCATACGGTACAGTCGCAAGAGCTCAACATCCCCAGTGCCGGCCATGACAGTCGCTAAGCCTACATGAAGTACATCGCGGAGCGTTTCACGGGCAGCATGAATAATTCGCGCATCGTACGAGTCATCAAAGATCGGAGTGTCATGAACATAATGATTTAGCTGCCGAAGCAACACAGCCCGAGCACGAAGATCAGCAGTGCCTGCAAACTTAATAGAGAGCGCAAGACATGCGCCTGCCCGAAGATTGTACCATGCAATCAGTTCCGCGGTCGATAAGGTCGTCAAGGGTGTCATGGTTTGCATGAACGGTGCGGTAGTCGATAGCAGGTATTGATCGTCTGGGCTAATTTCCTCCCATAACACCAAACAACGCGCAGCACTACGTATCAACAACAGATCCGGCCTTATGAACTGCAGAGCAGGTGCGCTTTCAGGAGGTGCCAGTAGCTGAGCAATGTCTTGATTGTTGCTTCTTAAGAAAATCAAAGCTAAGGCAAGCATTGCAGCGTACGCTGGACGATTTGTGGATGGCGTCATTGTGTCTGAGCCTACGACCCATTTGCGGAGTCCAGCGATAAGACTCTGATCAAACGCTGTATCCATTGAAGATCGATGTGCGCGGCCTAAAAGGACCCAACCTAAAGCAATCCCAGCCGAATTGGCATACAAATCTTGTAAAGAGATGTCCTGTTCGTGTGGTGAGGCATCCAATTGAGCCAGCAGTCGCTCAGCAGACCAATGATGATCAGTTGCGCAGAAAATCAGGCCCATTCCCAACATGCCTGCGGCTTGCGTGACGATAGGAAACTGTAATGCCCCGCTTTTCTGAGGTAGAAATGCACCAACTTGAATAGCCATCACTTGCCTGGCAGCAGGATCAGCAGTACCTAGGAAGGATGCCGCTATACCAAGAACCAGGCCGACGGTGGTCAATGTATGACGCGGTGTCAAATACCGATACGCATGCACACGGCCCAGCCGAGCGAGATGGCCATGTAAGCCTAGGCCTAAAAGGAAACCGGCATGGCGTGTAGCTCCACGCTGCGCAGTGCTATGGCTAAATATCCAGTTGGAATCAATGGTATCGTCCGAATGCACTGCAATCTCCAAAGCAGATGCAACCCCATTATGGAACTCTGCCCAATCTACTTCCTGAGGATCAGTAGCATAGGGATTTGTGATCAGCTCTGCGCCAGGAAATGTGCGGAGATTGAGATTCAATCGTGGTGTGCGCCAAGTGGAAGTGGGTCGTAATGAACATGACGCCATACGGAACATGCCACGGCCGATGCACTGCGCCATCGTGCGTTCTGCCAAAGTCCGAGCTAATTGAAGCACTTCCGCATGGTGCTCGACCTCGTCCTGTTCATTGTCGTGCGCGACATGTGCTGTGTTGGTGTGTGTGGTCTGAAGCATACGAGCTACTTCTGCTAGACGATAATCATGCGCAAACAGCAATGCACTCAATGGATCCAATCCATCTGGCAATGTTCGCAGACGGTCCGATGGCATATATGAGTGAGGAAGTGAATTCACCGAAATATCGGAATCTGTTTTCCTTGCGGCATCCAAGCTTTTATCACTCTGAGCAAAGCCAGAATTGTCGTTGCTCAGCATGCAAGCCTTAACGGACTCTTGAGCTTGCGCTGATGCATCATATCGTTTCACCAACCGATACGCTTCTGGGGTCCAAGACTTGGGTGGATCCAGCTGGTTGGTACGAATTGCTTCATGGAGCGGCATCGCAATCCCTATGGGCAAACGAGCTAAGAAGGCATCATCAGAGTGCGTATCGAGCATGGTCTGTACAAGATTCTTTGCATTACTGCGAGGTGAATCGGGGTTGGAAGCGAGTGATTGCCCGAACTCGCGGTAAATCATCAAGACATTGTATGCAACGGTTGTGAAAGGCTGCATTGAGGCTAAACTCTGTGTTATACCGCATGCTTGGGCACACGTCTGTAGTACAGAGTCTAATGACTGGCCTTTGCCGTGAATTGCACTTCTCAGCAGCTGGTAAATATCAGGTGGCGCTGGCGGGAGTTCGTGTATATTTACATTGGGATCTTGTGCGTGGTTCGTCGAGAGGGTTGTCATGGGAAACCAAGCAAGAGATCCTACGCGTCGGACCCAGAAGTCTAGCCAGGAACTCCAGTGAAGGGCGTCACAGAGTCTGCACAGTACTTCGATGATTTTCGGCATATCAGATTGGAATCGTATCTGGTCCAAGTAGGTATCCAACGCAGCAAAATGGAGAACAAGTGCCATACTATGTGCATCCAGCTGTGGTTCGCACCATTTTGACTGAGTTTCAGTTGAGGGACCAAACACCTTATTCAAAAGGGAATCGCTGGGATGATCGTTGCACATCGCCTCATAAGCGTCAGTGGACTGTGATCCACTAGCACACACTCCGCAGAGCTCTGCAAATGTGGACCATGAACCTATTAGTGCATCGGAGGGATGCTGCAGTCTACATGCAGTTGCCCATGCCTTGAAACAGGCACTTGCGAGATGATCGGGGAGTGTACCGATAGCCATATCCAGCACGTACTGCGTCGTACTGCAAGTAGGCCGGATTCGCGGAAGATCTTCGTCGTGAACAGTCAAAATTTGTGTGGATTTCCCTGGCGGTCCTAGATGAAGTAGGTACTGGTCAGAGCAATGCACTATTAATGCATCTGGTCTGTGATTTTTATCCAGAAGAGTTACAGGGGTAACTTTT